TGGTGGATGACAAGGGCTTTTTATTTGGCTAGCTCTGTCTTAATTATTAACCCATTTCTATTAATCTAAGTATTTCCATGTGGTCTTATAGAGTCCGGATCTCTTACTATTTTGTGGTCTCACATGGCAACTGCTAAGCATCTCCGGAGAGAAGAGAGAGATTTCCTGTTTGTCCCTGCTTATATCCTAATTCTGCCCAGCTGTATCACTTCCTGTCTATCTGCACAGACCTCCAGACCTCTATGGTTAGCTAGTGGCAAGTTTTTATCCAGTTATGTTACTTCCTGTATGGTACATCAGAGTTTTACTCGTTAACCAAAAAGAGAAACATATATGCAGAAGAACATTCCCCATCACACGTACATGAAGGGAACTCTTCTTACTCACTGATTGTCATAAATTGTAATAGGGAAAAATTAAAAGATGGAAAAACTCTCATGTTCATGGATTGGAAGAATTACTATTATGGAAAATGACTACATTACCAAAAGTGAGCTATGGTTTCAAAATCCCAATGACAATCTTAACAGAAATAGGGGGGAATCTCAAATTTCACATGGAATCACAGAGGACACTGACTAGTTTAAATTTTGAGCAGAACAAAGCTAGAGGTATCACAGTCTCCAATTTCAAATACTACTACAGGACCAGAAAAAGAAAAGAGCATGATACTTGAAAAAAAAAAGCATACATAGAGAGTAATAGCATAGAACAGGGGCCCTTGAGGCAAACCCACACACTGTAGACACCTAATTTGTCTTAACGTTTCAAAAACATTCATTGCAGAAAAAGCCACCTCTGTAACAAGTGGTGCTCAGAAACTGTTTTCCTCATGTAGAAGAATGAAAATAAAGCCATGTCCCTCATACTGCACAGGAATACTTTTAAAATATGCAAATACCTTAATGTAACACTTGAAACTTGGAAAATTCTTCAGAAAAATACAGGTAAAACCCTTGAACATGTAAGTACTGATGTGGGTAACCTTGTACAAAGGACTCCAGCAGCATAGGTCAATCTAAAGTATTGGCAAATGGGATTGTGTGAAATGGCAAAGCTTCGGCCTGAAAAAGGAAACCCACGTCAGAGTGGAGAAGCAACTTAGAGAATGGGAAATTATCTCTGACAACTACTTATCAGACAGACCATAAGCATGCAGAACTTAAGCATGCAAAGAATCATCCATTCAGTAAAGGAATCTATAAACTGAATATGTAAAATGATCATGAGAAGAAATACAAATGTCCAATAAATATTTTTAAAAGTTTTCAACGTCCTTAGCCATAAAGAAATAAAAATTAAAATGCTTTGAGATTCATCTCATACCAGTCAGAATAGGAAATGTCAAGATAAAAAAAAATTACAACAAATTCCAGTAAGGATGTGGAGAAAAAGAAACTCGGGCTGGGCCGTGGTGGCGCACGCCTTTAATCCCAGCACTCAGGAGGCAGAGGCAGGCGGATCTCTGTGAGTTCGAGGCCAGGCTGGACCGACAGCCTCCAAAACAATACAGAGAAACCCTGTCTTGTAAAACCAAAAAAAAAAAAAAAGAAAGAAAGAAACTCATATATTGTTGGTGAGAATACAAACTTGTTCAGCCACAGTGGAAATCTGTATAGAGTTTACAAAAACAAACAAAGTAAAAACCTAATCGTATGACCCACCCATCCACTTACACCAACGGACTTGAAGCCTTCCTTAGCAAGATTCACATCATTTTTGTTCACAATACCTAAGAAAGGGAACCAGCCTAGATGTCTACCAATAGATGAATAGATATAGAAAATATTGTAATATACACAGCAAAATTACATTTAACAATAAAAATTAAATTGCAGAATTTTCAGGAAAATGGATGGCACAGGAAAACATTTTGTTACAAGAAGTAAGTCAGGTTTAGAAGGAATGAATATTTTCACTCGTGTGGAACCTAGATTTAAAATTATATGTGTATGTATGTGATGTATGTAATTATGTGCCTTTGTGAACAGGTCATAAAACTATAAAGGGGATCATGAGATGAAGCAGATTTTCAGGAGGGAAGAAGAAAAGAGATAAAGTACATGTGGTTGGAGGCAGAAAGGAGTACTTAAGAGTGGGCAGGACCAGCAAGAGTGAGGCAGCAAGGGAGGAGAGGCGTCTGCTGGGAAACAGTGTAATGACACAGAGGTGTGAGGATGCCATAATGATATCCATTACTTTCACTATAATTGAGAAATTAATTTTAAGATGTTGAGAACTTCAAAAACATCAATAAGTAATTAAACATTTAGAATATTACCTAAATCCTGTATTATTTTAATTAACATATATGACAAATATGTTAATCATTTTACACAAATTCAATATTATCTTTTATCTCCTAACTTTAGCTAAAATGAAATTTTTAATAAAAAATAAGGTCTCAAAAATAGTTAAATATTTTTGCACTAGTGAAACACAGAAAGTAAAACAATAAAAACAGAAACAAAGTGATGCCGTGGTCTTAAGGTATTTGCCATGGTGGAATGAATGAGGCAGATGTATGCATACTCTCCCAGAGTCATAACGATTGCTTACATTTCACTTTTTGATTCTCTAGAGAATCAGTGTGATCCCCATCTAAACGGCAGAGCATGTTGAGAATACCTACATCACATCAGGCAAGGTATTCTAGAGGCGAAATTAGTCCATGTCCCTTTAGATGGAAAACTGTACATTTTAAAATAGAAGTGCATGTATTATTTTTGTGTACATATGTTTATTTTTCACTAAAAACATTAGAAATCTCAGTTTTCTAAGGGGACATAAAAGATACCATGAATTCCTACACTCAGATTTGCTCTTCAAGGGAACTGCCCAATTCCAAGAATTTTCAATTATTGACCAAGGGCTGGTCAATGATTGACTGATATGAGTATATAAAATTAATTTGGGTAAACTCTGAGGACTTTGTCAGAGCTCTGGCCTCAACTACACCATATCCTTTGCCTACATTTGTTTCTTTCATATCCTTAAGATGTATGTATTAATATATGTATGTTACAAGGGTGGTCCCCAAGAGCTCACCCCACTGAACCTTCTACATTCAAGAGCAGGTCTAACAACAGTCTCTAGTGAAATAAATCTTAAACATCATGTATATTTTTGTAAATAAATATAGAGAATAAATGCCAAAAAAGGATACAAAGTAAAGCTGTTTTGCTAGATAATTAAGGGGATGAAGAAGAAGTTGAAGGAGAGGATAGTACTTTATTTACTCTTTTATTGTCCAAATGAAGAAATACAAAGAAATTTGTCTCTTTTGTAACTAAAATCATCAAGAAAGTATTTTCCTTCTGGTAGAAATGTAACATTCCTCCCTGATATTCTAATATCTTCCACTTTCCAAAAGAATCTGGCTTAAACTTGCATTTAAATTCCTAAAAAAAAAAAAAAGTAAGTCACCGGACTCTTCAAAATAGGCATATTCTGCACTCATTTTTTTTAACTGACAAAAAGTGTGATTGATGAATTATTGTCGCTGTGCTTTCTAACATATTTTGACTCCCGAGGTTACCAGAATCCTCCCTCCCTCCACGCCACATTACTTGACAGCTGAAATGACACAAAGCCTATTCCACCAGAGAGCTAATAGCTTTACCTTGTGTGTCGTTAGCACCATCCATATAAGGAAATGAAAAATATGAGGTGTGGATTTTCAAAATATGATAAACCAAGAATACTGCTAGATGTACCGCAAGGTGTGACTTCAGGGCACACATATTCTTATTAGAATAAACGTGCCTCTGTTTTCTTTTACTAAAATAATCAGCATTTTATGCTTTAAGTTGACATCTTTCAAATTATTTTATCAAGTTAGAAAATATGAACCCTAGTTGAAATATGTTTTAACTATCATGTTATTCTAATGAAACATATGGCACAAAAGACCCCAACAGGGAGCTAAGCATATTTTGTTCAAGAATATTATAGTTGGGGTGGAGAAGCTGTTTTTATATTTGGGGCATTAATACTTTTACAACATGATTTTTGATGCTTACATAGATAGATGCATTTCAGTGAAGTGTAAGTGCCCACAAATACTGAATATTTAAAGTTGAACACATAACTGTATTTGATTAGATATAAATTTTAGTAAGCACATGTTGTTCATAATTAAAATACTTAGATTACAGTGGGAAGCTTTGGTCTCAGTAATGTTGAAAGGGTCTTTTTCATACTTTGCATTTGGACAATTACTTTCATTTAAGTATGTTCTTCCTTTCTCTGTCTTCCTTTCTTTGAAAAGGAATGAGAAACATTTTGTGTTTATTTAAAAGTATATACAGATGTTGCCAGGGCCCTTTAAATTTTATTTATTTATTTATATTTATTGTTTTTAACCTACAGATTTTTGCTTACATAATAGGACTTCCAGGTCAGGCTCTTTACTCATTGAGTGCACCCTGACTACAGCTCTCTCCCCTACTTCTCACAGTTCTTCCCTCATCAGCGGGACCCACTCCCTTTCTATCTCTCATTAGGAAATATTGTTCTTGTTTCATCTTGCTATATTTTATTATGCTTTGTTATTATCTACTAAAAGCACCTTTTAAAATTCCAGGAAGGTTGTATTGTCTATCTACAGCCAGAGAAACAGCAGCAAGTTCCTATTCCCTCATTAAAACATAGGGAATTGGTTCCCAATATATGCTTGGTGAGTGACAACAGAGGCAGAGATTTTGTATGACATTAATAGTTATTGAAATACCATAAATTAATTAAATGCATGAAATAATGAAGTATAAGAATGGTTCTTAAAATGATGAATATGCGACTGAACATAACTTCATTTCTTGAATTAAAAACAAGTATGTCTTTAATTTCAATAAAAATCAACAAGTTTGCTTCTTCCAACTGACAGTTATCTAGAAATAAATGAATGAATAACAGATGAATAAATGAAGTGATGAAATTTAACTTTGTTTTTATTAATTTGTATTGAGAACATGTATTACTGATCCTTCTTGCTTTCTAAGTTCAGAACAGAAACTGGCTGCAGTTTCAGGCAACTATAATCCCAGCACTCTGGAAGTAGAGCTGAAGTACAAGGAGTTCAAGGCCGTCTGGGGACCCATGGACTGACTCAAAAGATTCAAACCAAACAAAGTAGATTAAGAACATGAAATAAAATACTACAGACAAAACTTTTTAAGTGTGTATTATATGTTAAAAGTCCTAATATGCTTTAAATTTCTAAGATCAAAGCATTGATTTTTGTATATCAGCTTCTGCATATCTGTGTAAACACAAATATTTGTAAAACATCATTGTATTACAACATTTTTTATTAAAATAAAAATTTTTAAGTTACCTAAGTGTCAAAAGTATATCCTAAATCAGTTTTTTTACTTAAAACAAACTTTTCACATGACTTATTCTCTTTTGTAAGTAATACAAGATGATAGGCTCTAATATCACCTATTGATGAAAGACTTATCCCAGAGTGGAAGCTTCAGAAGGGGAAAGGCACACTATAGATGCCCAGAGCTAACTACAAAACAAGACACAATTGTAAGTATGGTGGATTCTATTTCTTACAGTCTATGGGAATCCAACCCAGCTTCATAGGCAAGGGAAGTGCTATCTCTCTCATGACTGGTCAGGGTAAAACTTCAGTACTTCTAGCCTTGTATATGACTGAGGGAAGGGTTTTTATACAGATGTGGCACAAGAAAAAAGGAAAAAGGGAGTACAGAATTCCTTTCTTGAATTTTAAACTTACCACTTTTATCATAAATTAATGTAAATGAGTTAAGATTCTTGTAATTCCAAAACTGTTATTAAATCTGTGCAGTTTGGCACTGAGAAAATGAATGTCATCTTTCTTGTGTTTGGTAATGTAATTTCTTCTTAATAGTCTTTACTCAGTGTATGTCAAGGCAATTATTCTTGTTGACACCACCCTGCTCCATGTGACAGGAAAGTGGTAGATCCTTATGTAAAACAAGATATCCTAAGTGTAGGATGCTTAAGAGTCTTAGAAACAGAGGGCCTATGGTCAACTAGCCAACTAGTATACATTTTCTTGACATCATTAATTTTTTCTGGTTTTTCAAGACAGGGTTTCTCTGTATTGTTTTGGAGGCTGTCCTGGAACTCGCTCTGTAGACCAGGCTGGCCTTGAACTTACAGAGATCCGCCTGCCTCTGCCTCTGCTTCCCAAGTGCTGAGATTAAAGGCGTGCACCACCAATGCCTGGCTGATATTAATTTTAACAACTGATTTGCTTCTAAATATCACAAAAGGTTGTATTTATATATTTGTGAATATATATCAATAAATGTGTGTAACAAAAATAATTAAATAAAAGGAAGCTATTTATTTGATAATGACGAGAAACATGAAATGAACTGGAAGGAGGGGGGCTTAACAGTTGGAAGAACGAAAGAGAAGGGAGAAATCATAATAGACTTTTAATTAAAAATATATTTAAAGTGGAAAAACTCAAAACTAAAAAGCCAGATCTAAAAGTAAGAATCAGAAGTTCAGATTTGGGGAATGAAACTACAAATAGCTATATTAAATTAACAATAACAAATTTTAAAATTGTCACCACAAATAAAAATAAGAAACATCCATCTTTTATAAAACTGTAAGTCTGTAGAGGGCAGCCTTCCCGCCAGCCTGGTCCCAGAGCCGCATCAGTCCCAAATAAACACAGAGGAGACTATATTAATTATGAAGCTGTTGGCAGTTTGCTTGGTTTCTTACTGGGTATCTCTGACTTAAGTATGTACTCCATAATTGTTAATCTAAGTATTTCTCTTACTGGAGATACGGTCCAGACTTCTTACCCCTATAGTGGTTACATCATGGATCCCTGTGTTTCTCCCTCCCAGAGTCCTGCTCAACTCCTAGTCCCACCTATCTTGCTTCCCTATTGGCCAACAGTGCTTTATTCAACAACCAATAAGAGACAGATTAATAGAATGGCATCTCCCATCATAAGTCAGTCACATAAAATATCTACATTTGTGGAAATTCAAAAGCAATAACAAAAAATATTTCACAATACAGTTTTGATTACATAAGCTATTGTACACAGGCACTAGAGGGTACACTTCAAGACTGAGAGTAAGTTCATTTTAATTATTTGTTTAAAGTGACATTTGCTCAGAAATTTTGAGCTAGAAGTTTACTAGGAGTTATTAAAATGCATTTGTGACTAAAATAATTTTTCACAATAATTTTATCTGAGGAAAAATAACAAATTTTATCATTGCTGGTCTGAATATTTTTGATTGCACAGTGTTGATTAGAGAATATAAATATCAGCAGAATGTGCCCCTTTTCTCTGGTATTTTATTCAAAATATCATATTTTCATTCTTTTTGTCTGTTCTTCAGGCAAGACAAGCAGACTGGAGATATGTGGTGATGAAATATGACTTGCTCTAAGTAGACATCAAGAATACTGAACTCAATAGATTGATTTTCCTAGCCAAAATTAATAATGATAACTATAAGAATGATCTTGAAAAGTAGGCTACAACCTTTCTTCTCTAAGAACTCTATTAAACTAGGAAAATAGAAACACTTCCTTATCCATCATTTCTGATTACTTTATTTGGAAGTCTATTTTAAAGAAAGAAAAATATGTAGAAAAGAGTTCCTTATTATTACATTAGAAACAATCCGGATTAATCTGAAAAGCTATGCTATAAATCTTTAAGTCAAAATGTTTCACAATTTACAATTTTGTTAAAATTTAAAAATTCCTTTTTGTTGAGGTGGTTTGAGTAATGGAACAAACAGGCTCATAGATTTAAATTCTTATTCCACAGATGGAACTGTTTGGGAAGGATTAGAAAATGTGGCCTTATTGGAGGAGTTATATTCCCAGTGTCTGTCTGTCTTTCTATATCTATAACTCTCTGCCTCCTGCTTGTGGATCAGGAATAAGCTCTTAGCTACTGACACAGCATCATACCTGCCTGTCTGTTTACTGCTGTGCCCCTTTCCATAACAATCACAGACTATTCCTTTGAAATTGTAAGCAAGTCCCAATAAACTCTTTTGATAAGTTGCCTTGGACATGATGTCTCCTCACAGTAATAGAAACGTAACCAAGACATCCAGAAATACACATTTTATGTCAATATTGCTCCCTGTTGTAAGCTATCCTTTGCAATATTGTATGTAGGCCATTACATAAATCAATAATGTTAAAAGGAGATGGGTTGTTTTACCCTTTTCAACTGAGCATCTAGGGAACTGTGAGCTTTTCTTGTAGATATCTCCCTTCTGACGTGAAGATATTTGATATCCAAAGGAGTATTGTCATTAAGTAAGGAGGAGAGCCCAGGGCAGAAAGAAGAATAAAATATCTCAGTAGAGTCATACCCACAATGTAATGATATAACCTGGCATATTTCATCCATAGTTAATTGAGGGGAGAAATCACATAACATAACTGCATGTATGTATGTCTTTATTCTAAGATTGTGTTGCCATCGCCTTGAGTACTGACAGCTTACCAGATTGTGCTGGCTTCAGCCCACCATGTCACGGGTTTAGAATTCAGGCCATGTATGTTCTCCTTAGTCACATCTTATAGTTAAACAATGTTAGCTAGTTCTGAGTGTTATGTTTAGAGCAATTCTGTGTCCCTGATTGTCTAGAGTAGTCCTAGTTTGTGGCAATACACCAATTTTATTAACAATTGCTCTTGGTGTATGTATGTATATGATAAAACGATATTGTCATTCTAATTGGAGCACATTTACTCATATGGTCGGTCTATAAACTCCAAGCTAACTTCTGACACCCCTTGTTCCAGGTGGTTATAAAGTCTGAACTCCAGCCATTTGCTCCATTTTATTTATTCCTTTTATTAAAAATAGATTTCTTTCTCACATAATATATCCTGAGTTTGATTTCCTCTCTCTCTAGTCCTCCTAGTTCCTTCCTACCTCCCTTCTCATCCAGATCTACCCCCTTCTGTCTCTCACTAGAAAATGAGCAGGCTTCTAAGAGATAATAATAAAATAAAATAAAACAAAACATTGAAATTGAACAAAATAAACAAAAGGAAAAGAGCACATAGGAAGGCACAAGCAACAGAAACCCACAGGTTTGCATAGCTCAAGTATCCCATAAAAACACTAAACCTAAAGCCATAATATATACACAAATGAACTGTGGATAAAAAGATATAAGAAAAAATATAAACTAAATAAAACAAAAGAAAACTCTTAAGGGGAAAGTCCTGACATGACATTATGAGACAAGGAAGCTCCAAAGGTGCCACTGAGTTCACTTTCTGTTGGTCATACACTGCACGCCTGCTTCCCTTAAGAGGAGCTGGTTTCTCCAGTGAGACTCCCTTGAAGGAAACTGTATTTTGATTTGTGACTGAAGATAATTTCTGCATTAGGGATTGAGGCACATGCCCTCTTCTCCTTTTAGCTCTAATACCCCATCTAGTGCAGACCCCTGCAGGCCCTGTGTACGCTGCCACAGTCTTTATGAGTTGTTATGCTCGTCAATCTTGTTAATATAAAGGACCTTGTTTTCTTGGTGTCCTTCATCATATCTGACTCTTAACATTCTTTTTGCCTCCTCTTCTGTGGGATTCCCTGAGCTCTCAGGGGAGAAATTTGATGGAGTCATCCCATGTGGATTAGATTGTTCACGGTTCCTATTGGCCAATTGTAAGGGGTAAGAGGATGGGTGGTTGTCTTTGGCGTGTCTTGTTTATTATTGGACCTGTCCTAAGGACCAGAAAATTTTCTAAAACTGTCCACCACTTTGCTCAGCCTTGGCTTGTATCACCCCTTGAAAGACTGCACCTGATGTCAGAATTTCACCATGATGTTTAGGAGACCCAAGGACTCACAGTTCTCTTGGTAGCTACTCTGGGTTTTGAGCCCCAGGTACCAGTTTCTGTATATAGCCAGTAGGAAATGTACCAATTCTGCCATCCCTGCTTCATCCCACTTAAGAACACTGGACACTTGAATGTGAACGATTAGTTCCCAAGTAGTTTCTCCTTGGTCATGCTCTTACAAGGAATGAAGGTTGAACTTGCCCCATTGGTTAGATCTTGGGAGGATTAGAAAATTAGTATTGTGCACTCCTGAATGTCTGTGAGAGTTTTCCAGAAATGATTCAGTCATCAAACTCTGACCTAATGAAGGCTTGAATGCTCTGAAAGACTTAAAATAGCAATAGTACTGGGAGGTAATAGAACTTTC